TATAAAACCTTGTTTTGTTCAAACAACCACTTCTTGGTCTATGTACAAGTTCCTCATGAGTACAATTAAGTGTTTGGAACAGTCATTCTCCACAATGTTGTCTATAGCTTGTAATGCTCCACACACTCCTTTAAGTCATCAATAAAGCACTCATACACATCTTTCTGGTATTCTCTGCTTTCAGTTAAGATCTACCTGATGGCAGCAATGATATCCTTTTTTCCAGGTCCTCATCTATATCCAGCTTGAGAATTTGTGGCAGTTCCCTGTGAATGTACAGTTGTAGTTGTCATTGAATTATCTTTAGCAAAATTTTACTTGCATGAAACACTAATGATACTGTCTGATGATCTCCACATTTCATTAAATCAGCTCTCTTTGGAATGGGCACAAATATGGATCTCTTTCAATCAGTTGGCTAGATAGCTGCCTTCCAATTTTCTTGGAACAGATGGGTGAGTGCTGCATCAGTTTGTTGAAAGACTTCAGTTTGTATTCCATCAGTTCCTGGAGTCTTGTTCTTTGTCAATGCCTTCAGTGAACCAGAGACTTCTTCCTTCAGTATCACTGGCTCTTGGTCATATGCTACCTCTTAAAATGGGTGAATATCAAACATTCGATCTTGTTTTGATGCTTTCTGCTTCATTAAATATTTTGTCCAGTCAAGGCTTGAAATTTTTCTTCAGTTCTTTCCGCTTGAGAAATGCTGAGAGTGTTCTACCCTTTTGGTTTCCTAACTCCAGGTCTTTGCATATTTCATTATAACATTTGACTCTGTGTTCTTGAACTGACCTTTGAAATTTTCTGTTCAACTCTTTTACCTTCTTATTTCTTCTACTGCCTTAGCATCTCTACACTGGAGAGCAAGATGCAGAGTCTTCTCAGATATCCATTTTGGTCTTTCCCTGTTTTTTTTTTGTCTTAATGACTTTTTACTTTCTTCCTGTATGATGTTCTTGATGATACCTCACAACTCTTCTGGTTTTTGGTCATTAATGTTTAATGCACCAAGTCTGTTTCTGAGATGATCTCTAAATTCAAGTGGGAAATGTTTAAGGTCATATTTTAGCTCTCATGGACTTGTTTTAATTTTCTCCAGCTTCAGCCTGAACTTGCATCTGCGTAATTGATGGTCTGCTCCACAGTCTGCCCCTGACCTTGTTTTGGCTGATGATATGAAGCTTTTCTACCAACTCTTTCCACAGATGTAGTCAATTTGAATTCTGTGTATTCTGGTGAGGTCCTTTCGTATAGTCGTCTTTTATGTTGTTAAAAAGAAAAAAAAATCACTGGTCTTGCAAAATTGTATCATGTATCATTTTTATTATAAAGGCCATATTTTCCAACAACTGATCATTCCTCTTTGTTTTCAACCTTTGCAATGCAATCCCAGTAATTATCAATATATTCTGATTGTATGTTTGATCAATTTCATACTGAAGAAGTTGGTAGAATTCTTCAGTTTCATCACCACTGGCTTTTGTGGTCGGTGCACAAATTTGAATAGTGGTATTAACTGGTCTTTCTGTAGGCACATGGATATTAACCTATCACAGACAGCTTTGTACTTCAAGAAAGATCTTGAAATGTTCTTTTTAATGGTAACTACAACACCATTCCTTTTAAAAGTGTAAAACCATGCGATTTTCAGATTCAAAATGGTCAAAACCAGTCCATTTCAGCTCACTTTAAATGCCTAGGATATCGATATTTATGTGTTCCATTTAATTTTTGACAACTTTCAATTTTCCTATATTTGTACTTTATACATTCAGTGTTCTGATTATTACTGGATGTGTGCACCCGTTTCCTGTCATTTTGAGTTGTGCCCCATCAGCACATGACGATCTTAAAAGCTTTCCTCCTTTCACATCATCACAGCCAACTCCACTTTGTGGAGGCAGCTCTTCCCCAGTCGTATTATATAAGTGCCTTCCAAGCTGAGGGGTTCATTTTCCTGCACTGTATCTGCCAATATTCTGGGGCTTTTCATCATGTTTCAGTATCCAATATTCTGGTGCTGACAGTATACCACTGCTATTTATAAGGTTTTCAGTGACTAAATATTCAGAAGTAGTCCACCTTTTCTTCTTCCTAGTATTTCTTAATCTGGAAGGTCAGCTGAATTCTGTCCACTCGGGTGACTCTGCTGATATTTGAAGTGCCAGTATCAGAGCTTCCAGAAGTACAGCAACATGTATGTCGCCACAGTACGACAAACTGACAGATGAGTGGTGGGTGTGTGGGAAAGAAGGGCCCAATTTAGATGAAAAGGAATTCTAAGACATGATTCTTTATGGGGCCTGCATCAAGCAATAAACAAAAATAAGGAAGGATATTTTGGAGACAGCTGGGACAATTTTGCTTTTTAGATTAGACAGTAGCATTTTAGTGCTGTTGTTGTTAAGTGACCTTGCAGTTACAATGATCTTATGGTATAGTACTGATTGTATAGCACCACACCAGGTATTATCTTATCAACAACAAATTTCTTAGATGTGATAACAATACGGTTATGAAGGAAAACGGGGCTGTCTTTAGGAGAAACATGATGAAAAATATGCAGAAAATAAATGTTATCCTATTAGGAATTTATGCTCCATTGGTTCAAAATAAATTAAACTATCTAGTCAAAAAGCAAATATGGCCAAATGTTAACAATAGCTAAAGAAACTGGGTGAAGGGTGAGTGTTGATTATTCTAATCTCTCTATTTTCTGTATGCTTGAAATTTTTCAAAGAATAAAGTAAGGAAAGGGGAGGAGAACTAGTGCATAATCAAAACAAAATAAAAAAATAAGAAAATTTTAAAAATTGTCCTTTTATCAGTAATTATTGTTGTTGTTGTTAAGTGCTGTCGAGTCAGTTCCGACCCATAGCGTTTACATATTTTAGAAATCTAATTTTCTAAACCTAAATAAATTCACTATGTTGTTGTTAAGTGCTTTCGAGTTGATTCTGACTCATAAGTGACCCTGTACAGGTCTTCCAAGGAGCAACTAGTTAGCAGTCTAGTGCTTATCCTGCAGCACCACACTAGGACTCTGTAAGGTATATTTATGTTACTCAAGGACAACACTAACCCTCCTTATACACAGAAGAGATAAATTAGGGGAACTTAATTATATGCTGTATAGTCCGGGTGTGGCGCTATGGGTTAATGCACTGGACTGCAAAAGTGGTTTGATCCACAAGGTCAGTGGTTCAAGCTCACCAGCTGTTCCCTGGAAATCCTATACAGGGTTGTTATGAGTCGGAACTGACTCGCTGGCACTTAACAATAACAACAATCATATGCTGTAGTCCAAGTGTGGCCCTGTAGAATAAACACTGGACTGCTAACCACAAAGTTGGCAGTTCAAACCCACCAGGTGCTCCTTGGAAACCCTATACAGGGTCTATGATGGCACTTAACAAAAACAATTATATGCTAAAAGATGTCATTGAAAGATTTCCTTTAAGAGATAAGAGGTGAAATTTCTAAAAGCAGTATGGTGGTGGTGGTTATGTGCCGTGGAGTTGGTTCTGACTCATAGTGACCTTGTGGAGGGTTTCCAAGGCGGGAAATATACATATGGGAGCAAAAAGCCTCATCTTTCTCCTGCAGAACAGCTGGTAGTTTCGAACTGCTAACCATGAGAGGAACAGCACTACTTGTAACCACTATGATAACTGAGCTCCTTACAATGATAGAAATAGGCAAAATATTATTGCTATGAAAGATCACAGAAATTAGCTCAAGTCTTCAAAGATTAGTACCCACATATTTTCAAGAACACAACTAGTATGTAAAAGGGTATACAACTTTATATTCTTCAAAAAAAAATTCAAATACAACTTAGCAAAGGGTTCATATTTTATCATATAAGGTAGCTTCAAAATGTACATGAAAAAAAATTCCTTCTTTATATTCCATTATTACACAAACTTTTTGAAGTCTCCTAAAAAAAACTTCAATTTAACCACCGTAAAGTCAAACAACAGGAAACAATTAGAAAAAAATTATGTTTAGCCCATAGGCATAAAGCACGGTATTCAGGTCTAGAAATTCCATTCAAGGGCTCTAGAGAAGCGACGCTATAAAAACAGTGGTAGTGGGAACTCGCTAATAAACACTCGACAGGGATGACAGATGAAGATAAATTCAGGACAGTAGAATACAGTAAGTCTGCCTTATATTGACAAGGTTTTGTTTTTACAGATTTTTTTGGTGAAAAATAGGTTTTAAATTTTTGTAGCATCCTTTGTACCACAGAAGTACATATATATGCGATAAGATTCTGTAGCTGAGACAGTACCGCTTTGTAAATGCATCGAGAGCACTCAGCTGGTCAATAGAAACATACTGTCAGGCTTCCCTGTGCTGACAGAAGGCTGAACAACTGCCCATCAATCTCATAAGAAATCAGAAAGTATAGTCAGAAAATCTTTCTATTGGTTCATTTACATATCAACTAAAGAGAACAATAGTATAATGTAAAGTATTTTATAATCTTGATTAAGTTAACCTGTAAAAATGCAAAATATCCTCTTAATGCAGAGTTACATTGTCTTAAAAGCTCTTTACTGGTATGGTGGTGGTGGTGGTGATGTGCTGTGAAGTTGGTTCTGACTCATAGCAACTCGGCACAGGGTTTCCAAGGTCGTAAATCTTTATGGGAGCAGAAAGCCTCATCTTTCTCCTGTGGAACCACTGGTAGTTTCGAACTACTGACCCTGAGGTTAGCAGCCCAACTCGTAACCACTATGCTACCAGAGCTCCTTATTTACTGGTCTAGACTTGCCATTTCTAGGCTTCTTAGAAAATACACATATTACCTTTATTAGCCAAGCTCTGAGAGGAAAGAAAAATAGCAGGAACAGATTTAATTACCCTTCTGACTAACTTAAATCTAGCAGCCATTCTCTATTGCTTACAGAGCGGCGATAATGTAAATTGTATCGAAAGGAAAAATGTCATAAAATGTCATGTTTTTATTTTCAAAATAGCATTTTCTTTACCTTATTAATGGGTACTACCAAGGTTGGCTGCACCTTAGCTTCAATTTCTTCTGGGGTGTAAAAGCAAAAGAGTTTGCCCCCTCTTAAAACACAATACAACCTTCTCCAACTAATTAGACCTTCTACAATTTCCTGAAAGAGAGAGAGAGAGAAAAAAGTATCACGTATCAATGTTATCATTACTTTAAAATTTTTTTAAAGTTTTTACTGTGAATTGAGTAACAGTTTACATGGGACATCGGTTTTACACATAATTTTAACACTACATTCAACAACATACTTAAACTCACTTCTAGAATTTTTAAATGGGAGTGAATTACCTATGAATTCACCGTATACTTGAGACAACTGCCCCAAATCAAAGGCTATGTTCGTATCAGAAAAGGCAGGAGTTCTCGAAAGTACTGAGCAAACTGAAGGTAATAATTAGCAAATAAATTTTACAAACACACGTGTGAAATCATAAATCAATTCAATTCTAGGATTCCTGGGGTGGCAGTGTAGGATTAGGGTTGTGAAACACAAGGTCAGCAGTTCTAACCCACTAGCCTCCTCAGAAACCGTATACAGGGTCTCTATGAGTTGGAACCGACTCGACAACAATCAGCAAAAAGAAGACTATTAAAAATCAGCGCGGAGAATTCCATGGAAAATTTTCATGTGACTCAGGAAAATTACAAAAAATAACTCTCTGTTACAAAATATACTTTTCCCTTACTGTTCACAGAACCCTGGAAAATGTTGACTACCATTGTAAGCATTCAAATTTTCTTTCTTCCTAATGGACGAGAAAGCTATTGATTCATTGAAGCTCATAATTAATTATTTACTGGATATAAATAACTATGGTTATAAATAAATCAGGAGTAGGTGGTACAGAGGCAGATTTGGAAGCCCAGAGGCCTGCATTATGCCAAAAGCTGTCTGCTAGAAAGGCCTTCCTGTGAAAGGCGTGCAGCCCCATCAGTTTCCACAAGGAGGCCTCTGTTGTGCTGATGATCTTGTTACTGCTGATAATGAAGCAGTAACTCCTGAGCCATCACAACTGCATCAGACCCCCTTCACCTTGTATCCTTTTCTGACCCGCTTACCCCTCACAGTCTATGTCTGATAACATTTAGAAAACTGACATTTAAAATAGACATTAAGAAGTACTTATCAATATTAGAAGGCCAAACAATTGTCAATATATTACAATTTACATTGGAGTAACAACTGTCGGAGGTTATGAAAAAGTCTTCTAACCTGCTGATTCAGAAATCCTGCAAATGCATTCTCAGCCATGCAAGCTGGCTGGGCAACTAATCGGCAACACATATTACCATATAAGGGAAGCCAGAATGAAGACTCTTCTATTTAAAGGAAAGAGAAAAAAATCAAGTTACAAATTTATGTTTACTTAAGGTCATTATACATTTTAGTTGCTTTTTACTTTTTCTTGCTTTGTACAAGCACATATTTTTAAGTGACATGTATGTAAAGATTTGTCTGACTAAAACATCAGCACTATATTTAATGAGAACATCAAATAAGCAAAAGTAGAAAGAACAGGATGAAATGACACGGATCGTTTATACTACTGCTATCCCTTGAAATGATATGAAACTTTGAAAGAACAGGATGAAATGACACGGAT